TGCAGATTTTCACCAGCTTTCCAACGCCATCTTATTTGGTCAATTTCGACAAACCGTTTGAAAATTGAGTCCAAAATATGATTCGCGTTTTCGGTTTTGAGAAAAACGATTTTTTCAAAAGTGCTCTTAAACAATGATGATTTTGCAAAAAATTTCCTATATATTTGTAATGTAGATGTCAAGAGATTTCCAATGATATATTACACGCTTCATTTCGACGAAAACACGGTCAGTTCGACGAAATGAAAATCATAAGTACATCCGCCTGAAACTATTAGTTCAAGTAGGGTAACAGAATAATATTTTGTTACGACGAAACAAAATAGCCCATATATAATCAACCTGTCAACCGTCTTCGAACAAGAAAAAAGAAGTAAATACCCTAACCTCTGCCCACCCACTACACATTCAGCCACCCCCCGCTCCCACCTTCTCCTGGCTCCCGGCGGCGCCACCCCGCCCCACCTCCTCCCCGGCTCCGGCGCCGCCCCGTCCCGCCCCACCTCCTCCCCGGCTCGTGGCGCCACCCCGCCCCACCCCAGCTCCTCTCCGGATCCTAGGGCCGCGCCGCCCCCAACCTCCAACCTCCCGGATCCTGGTGCCGCCCTGCCCCTACCTCCTCCCTGTATCCCGGCGCCGCACGCCCCCATCTCCCTGGATCCCCGCGACGCCTAGTCCCCAACCTCTCCGGCTCCTGGCGCCGCCAACCGCCATCCTCTGCCAGCTCCGGTAGCCGCGTCCACCTGTTTCCTCCTGCGTGTCGGACGGTGCGAATCTGGCCGACGTGGCGGGGCTGTGAGACTCGCCGGGGTGGAGCTCCTCCGCCTGTACCGTCGATCCATAGTTCATTGTCAGTACAGGTTCTGAAATTTCCTAGTACATGTTGGGGGACATTTCTGGAATCACGTATCCTTGCTAACTTGCAGTTGTAATTTTGATTGCATAGCAGTACAATTTAGTTATCTCTGAAGTTTTGATTCACAGCAGGACAATTTAGTCCCAGCTGCCATGATTCTGCAAACCATTGTGCTGCCAAAAGATGGTGCTTTGTTGCAACAAGTTGTGGGGAAAATGCAGTGAAAAAATAAAATGTGCTTCCACAAGTTCATATGATATATTGTTGTTAATTCAATTTCTTTTATATACCTCTACACATGTTTCTTGAAATGCTGACAAGGAGCTAGACTTTTTTTGTTCATATTTCTTGTTTCTTAAAACAACTGATGTACTACTATCAAAATGGAAGCCACAATAAATATCTCATCTCTAAATTGATGATTCAACCATGTTTTCTTGTGTCTATTACTGAACTGACAATGTTACTAAACTTGTGTTCTCGCTGATTCTGAACTGTTGCTCGTAGCATTTGTGATGCTCGTCTGATTTTGGTTGGAAGTTTAATGAATCCATACATAGTTGAACTTTTAGGAAGTTAAAAGTTCAACGAGTGTCTTAGAGAAAACTTGGAAGTTTTGTCTATATAAAAAAGATAACAAAAATATATGTGTTCTGACCTAAGATGTTCAGGAAAGAGTTCCAGAACATCCCCGGTCGCCGCGTCCCCGGGAAGCCATGCGACAGCCACGACCACTGCGAGCTGCTGGTGCAGCATCCAACCTGCCCCCATGCGCCTCCATCCCTCAATCTCCCAGATGCGTCGTCGCGAACTCTTTATTCCCCATCGCTGCCTCCTCCAACTCCTTTCATGGCTCTGGAAAATCACTGATCAGGTATGTTCAGTTCAGACCACACTAAAATGACCAAATTATAGATAAATATTTGCATTGTCCTAAATTCTTCCACTCTCTGGAAACAAAGTCGCAGAATGGATTTGAACAGAGTATACTTCCATGGTTTTGCAAGAAATCATACAATAAGTGCACCGTTCACTATGTATTTTATCATCAGTTAAAAAATAATCGTAGAAAAAGTTCAATTTGTGTTATTGAAACAACTCAATTTATCGGTATTGTGGAGATCATGCATGACTAGTATTTATAAATCACTTCTTGACTGCCTTGACCAATTAAGGGACCTGATTGGCGCTGCATAGAGTTACTGATATCTTGGTTGTGAATCAAGGTCACATTCTCATATGGCTTATCACAGACCCTTTATAAATGACAAGCATCGTCAAGTCACATCATCCAATGGTCTATGCTTAAGTTCGGCACGAAGAGTACACCAGACCCTTTATTTACTCTTGTTCTGTTATTCATGTTGGTCGTTTGCTAAATGTTTCAGCGCACAATCCAGCTTGTAGCTGTGAGCACTCTGTTAAACAGGTTTATCATGTGTAATCCCAGGCTGTATTTGGGAAAAATATTTGTACTGTTGCTTCTCTTGGAATGAAAGTGTTGTCTTGCTCTCAAAAAAAGAGTACCCATCCAATCTGTTCTTTCTCCCAATTCTCCTCATTTTAGGATGGCACATGAACACAATGATGTTCTGCAGTACCAATTTATTTCTGAGATAGTACATATGCTATTCTAAGAATGACTTTTATTGTCATCATTTGACTTCCAATACAAATATCAATATAACTGGTGATTTTGACTCTTGCATGGACATTCTACTCATACTTATGCATGGATAATATGATAAATTGTGGTTAGCTGCTTTTGCATGGTCAAGCTCGCTGATAAGGCACTATATACTTTTTTCCTTAGATTAAGTGCTACTGAAATAAGTTTGTGGGTTGCAGTACTTGTGGATATAGCTGTAAATGTGTTGCTGGCTGCAGTATAGTATATTGATCTGTTCTGTTTGCCAATGTCATGTTGTCATGTTCCATTCCATCTCACCATTTTCCTTGACCAGCACAATTGCGACATTGCAAATTGGTTATTCAGTCATATGTAATGGCTCCAAACACATGCCTTTTTAGACTATTCAGCTACTATTTATGTGTTTTTTCCTGTTTGGTTATTTGATTGTTAACTGACAGACACTCTTTTTATCCTAAAAACATAAATACTGTTGCTATGGTGAGTTTAGTGCCCATATAGAGTAGTAATACTGTTGTTTGCAAATCATGGGTTATTACTTACTATTAGTTACTGCAGAATATTGGGGACTACTTGGTTCAGTTTACATTTTATGCTCACTGCCCAATATTGGGGATTTGTTCTTGGGATACATGTGAAACTGAACCTTAGATTTTAATCCCACGTGCTCTATATTTCCCTTTCAAAAGTATGCTGTAGATTATAGCTACATATGGCATCTAGCTTTAACAACATAACTTAATGCTGGTAAAAAGGAATTACGCTACATCTATGTTGTGCTTTGCTCTTTTTTTCAGAATATTCAGATCACATTTTCAATGCGTTGTTTGAAACGCTACAATATAGATATATACTCCCAGCGCACTGCCACTGGCGTTGACACCACAGGGTCCTGAGGCCTCGGCATTCATGCCAAGGTGGTCCAATAGAGCCAACAGATTAATCTGGGAAGGCCAGCAGGACGGAGGGAAAGGTTGACATCGTGGGCGTCGACATTTGTGAGGTGACCAGCACGGATGAGGAGAGCGCAAAAACTGCACCTCATGACGGTACTCCGGATCCTGGTGCCTCTCTCCCTCTGCTGCCTATGTTCTCAAGATACGAGAGAGTGGGATATTCGCATGATTGTGGCTGGTTGGAGTGTATGGTCTTGTGGAGATCATGGATGTTATTTGCTTATGACACGATGTATATATATACTACTAGAAGTTCCAGTACCTATATTACTACAATTCTCTAATAAAAAATGTATCAGTTCATTGTGTGTAGCACATGGTTAACACATATAATTACAAAACAGTTACTTGAACTATACAAGAGTTCAGCTTTTACTTAATTTTCAGTTCAAATTTTGCATTATTTTCAGTACATCAACTTTAATGTGCAGAACATCGAGGAAATCCTGAAAAATTATATGTGCACTCTGTATTTTCTTATGGAAGGGGAGCCTTGGCGCAGTGGTAAAGCTGCTGCTTGTGACCATGAGGTTATGGGTTCAAGTCCTGGAAACAGCCTCTTACAGAAATGTAGGGAAAGGCTGCGTACTATAGACCCAAAGTGGTCGGACCCTTCCCTGGACCCTGCGCAAGCGGGAGCTACATGCATCAGGTTGCCCTTTTTATGTATTTTCTTATGCTTACAAGAATTCTGCACTCATACTGTTATGCATCAGTTCAGGTCGCCCGTGGAGTTTTAGATATATGCAAAATCGGATTAGAGCACCATGCTCTCACCCAAAAGTTTGAAAAACCACTACTTTCAGTTCTGGTAACATATGTTTTTGTTTCAGTTTTGCTAATTCTTTCTCCAATGGGCCTTTATATATTATCTTTCACTTGTCTTACTATATGAAAAAATATGTGGCCTTCAACGAGCAATCTTGCTCAGTTTTCTGGTTAAAAAAATAGACAACATGGATTTACCATGTTCTATTAAAAGAAAGTTGGAGTTCAAATTCTAATTTTAGTTCAGTGAAGATCAATGGGAAAATGCACAAAAAGTTCAGACTCTTGTTTCCTGAAGTGTTTGTTTTGGTATGTCCAGCCCAAACAATCTTCAAATTTTAAAAAATGCTTCTCTGTGGTCAAATGAAAGCTACAGTAATTATTTTGGACATGTCCAGTACAAACTTTTATAATGGTGTAGTACACTTATTTAAAAAAATTTATATATTTACAAAACAGAAATTGCAATTCTCAAAAACCTACAAAAAAGCATCAATTTATATTGATAGTTGTTCTAGTCCTTATGTTACAACAGTGCAATGAAAAAAAATCTCATCAGTTCAACAACATGGGCATGCTAATGCCGTAGTGATCTTGCGCGCGACCACAAGGATGTCGGCTGCAATGATGCCAAAGTGACGAGCTATCTACATTCTGCCTGGCTGTTGTCCATCTATATCTGCGTCCGTGGTGCGTCGCCAGCGGCATCGTCCCTGACCAGGGCACCATGCTGAGGCACTTGCTACTACTAATGCACACTGCATTTGACGCATAAAGATGGAAAATGCAGGAAGCCGCATATTTATGTGGAGCTAATGCACACCATTTTTTGCTGAAAAATGCCACGGTTAAAATGAAGGTAAGCTTGTGCGTGTAATTTGTCTGAGGTGGTTGGTTCTGGAAAGGGGGATTCACACAAGTAGATTTAAAAAGTTGTAGCTCTTTTCTTGGTTTATGGTCAGCTCATGCATCGAGTTTCCATCCAACCGTGGGATGACCTCTACCTGCACGTACTTGTTGCTAAGATGTGTGTTGTTAAACTTGTTATGAAGCCACCATTATTCTTCAGCTGCGACCTACATGAGTTTCTTCATCTGCGGTTCAACAAAAAAGAACAACAACAGTCCATTCATCTATCGTATCTCTTTCCTCTCTACTGCTCTTTTCTCTTACTAATTTGTTTCTCTCTGAACTGCGGCACGGGGGGAGGTTGGACTACAGACAGCCCCCGCCGCCCCCATGCATTACTTCCTCCGGTCCTGTCCAAGTATGGGGCTCACACTAGTCCAACTCTTTCTCCCTTCTCCGTCCAACTGTTGTATGCTATTCCAAATGCCAATGATCATGCAAAACAGTTGTTGCTAGAGTCTAGATGATGTGTAGTGTAGATGCCATAGTTTCACCCTATTTTTCTGGTTCTAATTATTGCTGCATAACTCTTTAAAAGAATGTTCTGTGAATGTTTGTGATCATGGCTTGTAGGTATTCTTGTGAACTTTAAAATAATGACTGTTCTTGTAGGAGGTTCAAAGATTGTCGTCGAGCAAGTTCAAGAGATTAGTTTCGTGAAAATAATGTGATCTTTTGGTTAGGATTGCATGATCCATAGCCATCAATGGCAACAGGCGAGCAGTTCAAGGCCTCAAGGCGAGCAGTTCAACACTTTTTTGTGATAAATGTTATTATGATCTATTCTATGTATTATATTGTATGATCGGGAGAACTCAGAAGTTCATGTGCTGTCGGTGAAAAATTTCAAAACATTTTGTTTAGTAAGAACTTTTTTTATCAAATGATAAACCTATGTTAATGGAAAACAATACTTGAGACGGGAGAAGTCCAAAACATCGTTGCAAAAAGAAACACATGATTTTTTCTCTCTTTTCTTTATGAGAAAATATCATTCAGCTCAATAGTATATACCATGCAAGTTCAAGGACTATGATACCGTAAACCGAGGAAAACCATATCAAAGATAAACAGTAAAATCTAGTGTGTGAAAACTTGCTCAGTACAAATCTATATGGGCATCAGTTCAAGTACTATTTTTTGGGAACCATTCAAAACTACTCTATGAAAAATATATCAGTACAAACATACACATAAATTAGTACAAACATAGTCCAACACATCATTGCAAAAAAAGTTGAGTTCAAAAAAATAAACACATGAAAATTTTCTTTTCAGAAAAATATGATTCAGTTCAACATATAAACCCTGCAAGTTCGGTGACTATGATATCGTGTACCATTGAATCGTTACGAGGAAAATCATATACCAAAAAAATAGAGTAAAAGTCTTGTCGTGGAAGTGTCACGGCAGATGTGCTCATGGAAGGACTTAGTTGTGGAGCCATTGCGACGAGATTAGATTAAAGGGGTTAAACGGGACAAGGGACACAAAGAGTTTATATTGGTTCGGCCCCTTGCGGTGAAGGTAAAGGCCTACTCCAGTTAAGGTGGTATTGCTAGGGTTTCGATTACCAGGGAGCAAACATGCTTTGTCTGGCTCTCGATTTGATCTTTCTTGCCCTAAGCCGCTGCCGGGTCGTCTCCTTATATACACGGGTTGACGCCCTATGGCCTACAGAGTCCCGGCCGGCTCATACAACGTGTCCAACTCGGTGACGTATCTTACATGCCTTATATTACAAGTCTACTCATACATGGTGGTTTACACTTACGGGCCTTACGCCGTCTCTGGGCTTGGGCCTCTTACCGTCCTATCTATGAGCCGCCGTCTGATATACTCTCTTGGGCTTTTAGGATGAACTGTCATTGTGGTTGACCCGACCCCTCCTGGGCGGGTCATACCTGATAGTCATATCCCCAACATTAGGCCCCAGGTTGATTTGAACTTGTTCAGGTCAATCTTCAACACTTAGAAAAAATCCTTCTTCCTCTGTTGTGAAGCATTGTAACCCGCCATGACATCATCTCCGGAAATTTTGGAAACCCGGCAGGGCGTTATCTTTAACGGATCTTTTATCCTTAATGACCTTCCGAGAATCGAGGCATTCAATTAGCTGGATAATCATCATTTGGCCTCCTCGTTTTTCGCGCCTGCCTGTTACTCTTTTCCTTATAAATAGGGTCAAACCACCCCTTTCTCATTCTCCTCTCTTCTCCTTCTTGTCTTCTTCTTCCTCGCGATGCACCAGCCCTCACGAGTTCCGCCACCGTCAACCTCCGTCCCCTTCATCAACTCCGGCCGCTGCATCGCCCTAAACGGTCCAAAAACGCCGCAACACTCCTCCATTGTCAACTAGCATTAGTAAGTCTCCCCCTTCCCTTTTCATGGATTTGTTCTTTAGGGTTTCGGTGTTCGTCGGTGTTCATCACTGCTCCTCCTTCTTCTTGCTAGATCACGTAGTTTTGATCCGTAAATAATGTAGGTCATGTGCGGTAGGAGTCTTAGCACCTGCTTTTGATATTAGAACATATCCTCATTGCGATAGATCTTTTCTGGGGCACCTCCACTTTTCTACTGCCGCCTCTATAGATTTAGAATTTATTTCCTTTTTCTGAATAGCTGTAGATCCGAATTTATAGCTTTAACCTGTAGAACCTGTTCGTCCCCATACTTAACCAGAAGAGACGCCATCTTCCCTCAAGCAGCTTTATCGAGTCACCCCAAAGAATGGAATCAAACATGGTTCTACTGCAAACGTGTCTTGCTGTCTGATGAAAATCCATCGCCGGGTTATCGTGCTGAACGTCTTGACACAAGTTATCAACTCACTGTGACGCCCGGATAGTCACGCTACAGTAATCCTTCGCTAATGATGCCATGTCACCATTATTACTATTGCTAATCTCTCGTTAATTCAAAAAAACCGTTTCAAATTCAAATTCAAAATCTAGTCAAACGGTAAAAGTTTTGAAAAGTCAAATCTAAAATGTTCAAAGTGTAGCAAACAAATCATAGATGATTATGGTGGTGGGTCCAAATTAACATACTATGTTTAAGTGCATTAGATAATAGGAACAGTCGCTGAAACAATAATTTAAATGTCTCTTAAATAATTAAATTATTAAAAACTACTTTTTATAACTACAAGAATAATTGTGGCTGTGGTATAAATACTATTAGTGATTTAGGTGCTAACTATATGTTTTACAAAACTAAAACAATTAGGGTAATAAAATTAAAACAGAAAAAAAAGCACCCCTCCCCCCGCTGGGCCTACCGGCCCAGCTAGCCCAGCTAGCCAGCCGGCCGGCCCAGCCGGCCACTTCGCCTCTGGCCTACGAGGCCACCTCCCCCGAACCCTAACCCTCACCCGATCCCCACTTCCCCCCCCACTCTTCCCTCACTCCCTCGATCCAAATCGGGATCGAGGCGACCACGCCCCCGACCCCGACGACATCGCCCCGACGCACGTCGCCGTCCTCGGCGCCCCCCCCCACCGGAGCACCACCCCCATCGCCCTGCTGCCT